AATCAGGGCTTGGGGGTGGGAGGAGCAGGCAAAGTCTCCTCCCACCCTGCCAGGAGTGCGCGGCACTTCTAAGTTCACATACAGGGCAGGGGGAGACTTAGTACACTTCCCTCCGCTCCCAGACCCTGATTGGACTGGGTATGAGGGGCGTGGTAGGGCCTCTGCAGGCCAGATAAGCTTGCTTGGCAGGTCGAATCCAGCCTGTGGAGGCCTGTTTGCCCACCCCTGAGTTAACTGGTTAAACCTTCACATCCCTATTTAATGTGACTGGGGTTATGTTATAATACTAATGATTATGGCACAGGAAGCCTTTGTATAGGCATTCTTTTTATTAATGAAATAAGTAATAAATTGTAATTGCAGGCGTTGCATAGTGTTCAGTAAATAAGATAGGAACCATTAACTTGAAGATGAGTATATATCAAACTGCTGCCTCATTTCCTAACCACTCACTCCTATGCACAGAATGAGGGAGGGGTCTTGTGACAAAAACAGCATGTGATCTTGTAATTTAAAGATTATATCATAGTGAATCCATGCAGACATGCAGAGTTAAGACTACACAGACAAATCCTTGCATTTCTTAACTTTTACAGCCCAAATAACATTATTTTAAATAGTTTTGTGTGTGGTATATTTCTGTAGTATGGTGGGACTTATGGTGTCTGTGGATTGCCCCATCATACAAAAGAGGAAATTTGCTGGAATATATTTCAAACTGGGGTACTACTCCTATAAATTCATAAACACATGCTTAACCTTGAACATATGAGTAGTCCCATTGGTTCAAATTAAGCATAAGTCCTAGTGCTCTGACCTGAAGTCCTTTGGACTTTGTCCTTTTCACTAGGTCTGATATATCCTGATGTGTTTCCAGCATAGGTCTTGTTTATTTGAAATTTATTCATTGCTTGTGTATATACTTTGGGTTCTGATCTCAATAACATCAGTATTAGACAAGTTTAATTCCATTGTGATCAGCTCAGTTAGTTTTTGATTATGTGAGGCCAGGATATTCAGTCCCTTACTCCCAAATATATTTTCAATGGTATGGTACCAATTTTATGTATTCCTGTAACCTTATTATTCTATCCTTGCCCAGTAGATGGTACTGTTGACTCTGTTTTATGATTTCTTTGGACATTTGTTTCTTTAGAGCTGCTGTACCTTTTTATTGTTTCCATTTAATGTGTTTTAACTATAGCTTTTCTCACTTTTCTCTCTCTGCTCCCAAGTAAATTCTGCAGCCAGTGGAGTAAGGATGTTAGATTGCAGTTACCTAGCAATTATATAGTCAATACAATTTGGATTGAGCAGTCCTGGCCCATGCTGGCTCTGGGAGCCACCCACTCTGTGGCTCTGCATTTGAAATGTAGTAAGAGCCACACTCTTACTACATTTCAAATGCAGAGGTGCGGCATACCAGACCAGCGCAAACTGGGACTGCTTGGTCCCAGCTCATGCTGAGTCCAGCAGCCTCTGTTCGCAGTGGATAGCCCCCGTCCACCGCAAACAGCTTCACTGCAGCCTCTTCTATCCCTTCTCCCCCCTCCCCCGCTGCCTCTAACAGGCAGCAAGGAGGAGAGGGAAGGCACCCTGAAGACGGTGTTGGGGGGAACTGGCTTTTAAGCCGCCTGCCCCCAGCACTGGCTCCTGTTCTGCGTCCCCCCCACCCCGCCCTCCTTGCTGTCATGTGGAGCAGTGGCAGCAGAGGCACAGCAGGGAAATGGTGAGAGCGGTGATCATTTTGGTCCTTCAGCCTTTGAAATGTAGCAAGAGCCTATGGGCTCTTGGAGTGGTACCCAGTTTGAAAGAATCAGCTCTATTCAGCAAGAAATATACCATCACTAACATCGACAAATTATACATCATATGGATTCTCCTCCGAAATTTTATAGATTAGTGGTTTTAGAAAAAAATGAAGTCATTGTGGCATAGAGACCTGTGTTTTAAATATACAATACCAGTTTGTGTATCATCCTAGCTTCACTGAAATCAATAGGCCTTTAACTGTTGACTTCACTGGAGCCAGGGTTTCACCTCAAGCTTGTTACCAGCTTTGAGGGAAGATGTCATAAAAGCAAGTACTAAGTATTTTTATGATTTGGGTGAAATCCGTATGATACTGTGCATACTCAACTCCCATTGAAGCTAGTGAGGTATGTTTTCAAATGCACAGTTAGTGTCTTAAGTGTAGTCATTTGTGCCTTTGAAAATTTTCCCCAGTAGCATATTCTGACGGGGAGCCGGTCTAAGGCTTTGGCACAAAAGCACTAATATAGTAATGCAGGTGTTTATATACCAGAGTGGGAAGGCTAGAAGCTAGGACTTCAGGGGAAATAACAGGTGTTCAGCATCTCTCAGGCTTCAGCCCTTTATTAATAATGGAAAATTAGTGGGGTGATACTGCAAAGCGTTGAGTGGGAGTTGAGCTTATTCAAAATTTCAGAGACTCCGTCATGATTATATTCAGGATTCTCACTCTATTTCATGATCACAGTGAAAAGAGTTGGATTAATCATATCTGTTCAGAAAAAAGCAAGTCTGATTACTCTTTGTTGTATTCACATAACTTTATTAGATGTGCTTATCACCTTCTGGCATTGTTGCAACTCTGGGGAAGAAATGCTGGCACGTCAATGATAAGCCAAATCTTCTGGCTTCAGATGTTTTCATGTGTATATAAATATTGGCAATATCTCCCACTCTTACAATTCTGTTGTAATATATGACCTTTTTCTTAAAATTCTAGCTTGTGGAGTCATGTGTTTGATCTGGGAATCTCCTCTGACATCTTTAAAACAAAATAGTTTCTAGCCATCCTAGTTGCAAAGGGAAGCTTGGAAGCATAAACCCTAAGGCTCAAAAAGGAGACAATGAATAAAAAGATCCCAATGGTTATTTCTTAAAATCTCATTATTTTTGTGGGATTTGACTTATGATTTTGGGGCAGCGTCTCAGGCAGAAGGGACAGGGCTGGAGCCGCTGCTCAGAGTGTAGTGCTCTGGTCCCCCGGTTAGTGGCGCTGGCTCCCCCTCCCCCAGCCCTTAACGCTGCCAGTGGTAATTTAAAGAGCCCAGGGCTCCAGCTGCTACAGTAGCAGTGGCAGCAGTCTGGAGCCTTGGGCCCATTTGAGTTGCCAGGCCAAGGGGCAACTGCCCCATTTGTCCCTCTATCAAGAGGCATGATGACACCTATACAACTCAGTGAACCTGCTGACTTATATATTAACTAGAAAGCTGAACACTAGATTCATCCACTAACACTGAAGTCGTTATGGCATTTGGAGGATGCTTTGTTACTGGAGGCAAGATGGACATAAATTAGTGCCCCCAGTATAAGCACAGTATGTGGGATATTGCTCAGTCTTGTTCCTGACTGATAGTTATACAATAGGTAATAAACAATTCATAAACTGCTTTGAGATGTTTGCTTATTTTCAGTGGAGAAACACTGAGTTTTTGGTTGATGCTGAAATTACAATATTCTGGAAATACTTGTATTTTTTGGATCACTTTCAGGCCTTTGACAAAAATGCTTGGTGATAGAGCACTGGTTTACTGCCAGTGAAAGGAGATCCAAAAAAAAAGCAGAATGTTATTTTTTCTTCAGATTTCTGCTATGGGTTAGACCTCCCAGGTCTAGCACCCTCAGGACCTGACTGGACTCGCACAAGGGGATTCGCTGGACCAGAAGAGGTTCCTCCCCTCATGACCCATGCTGCCTCTCTGCCCTGGGCTAGGGCTACAGCCTGGTCCCACTTCTGCCCCAGCCCTCCAGGACTCTCTAGCTGCTGCTGGCCCTGCTGCTGCTGGGGCTGGAGCAGCATGGTTGGACCTCCACAGCCAGAGCTCCCTGGCTGCCAGTAGGGCTGGAGCTCCCTGGCCACTGGAGTCAGAACGGGACTGGGATTGGAGCTCTGTGACCAGGCCCGGAGCTCCCTGGCTTCTGCCCTGGCTGCCTCCAGGGCCTGAGCCCTGGAGCCTTGGCTGGGACCAGAGCTCCCTGGCTGCCTCTGGGGGTCAGAGCTCCTTGGCTGTGAACATAAGAACATAAGAACGGCCATACTGGGTCAGACCAAAGGTCCATCTAGCCCAGTAGCCTGGCTGCCGTCAGTGGCCAGCACCAGGTGCCCCGGAGAGGGTGGTGGACCGAAGACAATATCAAGCGATTTGTCTCCTGCCATCCCTCTCCAGCCTCTGACAAACAGAGGCCAGGGACACCAATTCTATCCCCTGGCTAATAGCCTTTTATGGACCTAACCTCCATGAAATTATCTAGCTTCTCTTTAAACTCTGTTATAGTCCTAGCCTTCACAGCCTCCTCTGGCAAGGAGTTCCACAGGCTGACTACACGCTGTGTGAAGAAGAACTTTCTTTTATTAGTTTTAAACCTGCTACCCATTAATTTAATTTGGTGTCCTCTAGTTCTTCTATTATAGGAACTAATAAATAACTTTTCTTTATCCGCCCTCTTCACACCACTCATGATTTTATATACCTCCACTGCCAGGCTGGAGCTATCCGAATGCTGGGGCCAGAACTCCCTGCCATGCAGCCTCACCCACACATGCAATGGGGCTCCTGGTTGAGTTGCAGTCACCCGTGCTTCTGCCCTGCCACCAGAAGTCCCTATTCCTAGACTCTGTGGTCCAAGATTATCGGTAATCCAATATTGCCGGCCCAGAGAGTACCAGTTTAGTGAGATACAACCTATATTGATTTTATTTTGTTTGGCTACATACCCCGATCAAATTCATATATGTATATACTCACTATTCTGTTAATATTTGAGAGTTAATTTAAACATTTTTCTATAATGCCGTCTATGTTGTGTGTTAGAGAAAAAATGAATACGCTTTGCCTGTGGCTAAGGGATTAGCAGTGTCACTGAGTATCACTCATGTAATACAATGAAGGACACCTTTATAAGAATTCTTAAGGGAGAAGCAGTTAAACATTTTTTTTTTAATTTCACCCTATTTTCCTTGGTTTTATCAGTTCAGAGTGAATGAGTTTGGAGCCCTGGAAGTCATCACAGATGAAACAGAGATGGAAAGTGTTAAAAAGGCCACTGCTACTACTACCTGGATGGTTCCAACTGCTCAAGAAGGTCAGAAAGAAGCTATTTAATTTTTGTACACTGCATTTTTTTAATGTAACAGTGTCTCATAAAATGTTTCCAAAAGCTTTAAAAATGCTTAGTTGTTTTTCCTGTAACAACTGCTGTAACCACCTCATGAAAAAACTGAAGGGATGTTATTAATTACTTGTGTGAATAGGTGTCAAAATAAATGTCTTTTAAAACTTTACACTTCTATTATTAAACATCTGGGAGCAGTAATTTTAGAAAACTGAAGCTGTATCCTTCTAATAGGACCTTTTATCTAAGTTTCGAACTAAACCAATTTTTAATATGCTCTGTCCTGTTATTATTTAATTAAAAGATGCCCTAATTGTTTACTCTGTTTGAAATGTATCTGTATCCTGCACTTTGTTCTTACTGAAAACAAACAGAAAAGGATTTTACCTATGATCTGTAGTTAAACTTCAGCCCAAAATAGTGTAAACTATAAACAGTACTTGTTACAGTATTTTGTTTATTTGTTGCTCTAACAATCGATGAAATTAGGTCTGCGGCATGTCTTTGTTACTGCTTATTCTAGAAACACTTTTCTGAGTAATAACATTGAGGTTTAAATGGGCATTATAATGCTGGCAAAAGGAAAATACACTTTTTCATCCATAGAACAGTATATCACATAGTCACAGGTGCTCAGTATTGTTTTGTACACATTTACTGTAGAATCAATAGAGTAGCACTGAATAGAATACCACAGTTACCGTCCATGGTTTCTTGCAGCCAGCATTATTTTTGGGTGGAGGGACCCTTTCAGAGGGTACATTTTGGTAGGTGTTCCTTTTTTTTTATTACATTTTTAATTATTGTTAGCATTTGTAGAAAATGACAGATTAACAGAATGTAACTATCTACCCAACGGCACAAACAGTAGTGCCAAAAACTTTGCTACTCTGCCCCGTAAATATTTCTTACACCTGACCTGGAGAGACCCTTTCTAGGGGTGAAAAAGTAGTTCCGCCTGTTTAGTCCTTGACCTCTCTCCTTATTGATATTAGCAATTGTAACGGGTGTGATTTTGTTTGATGGGTGTCTTTTCAGTATCTATAAGTAATTGAACCAAGAGTGCCAGTTAATATACCATAAGTCAAAGTAACTGGTAACAATTTTCAATCACTATTCATATCTGCAATGTGGAGGTGAGAGCCTTGTTACTATAGTACTTTAAACTTCCGATAATCCGGCACCTTTAGGACCCAGGGGGTGCCGGATTATCAGATATGCCGGACTATAGGAAGGAGGGGCTATGAGGGGTCTGGGGTGGAGTGGGGGGGATGCGCCCCTAGGCGCTACGGGACCAACCTGGCAGCACCCCAGCTGCTCTGCCCCCGACTTCCCCGAGTCAGCCGCTGGTCAGTTTCAGCAACGGCTGAATCAGGGAAGCCGGGGGGGCGGGGGCAGAGCAGCTCCGATCGTCCGGCTGCCCAAAGCTCTTCCCGGTTCCAGATGGTGCTGGACCATCAGGAGTGCCGGACCATTGGATGTCGGACCACTGGAGTTTTACTGTATAAGGCACAGTGCAATATGTTTAGGGTGACCACCCATCCCATTTTTACTGGGATTGCCCTGTATTTAAGCTGTCTTCCAGGCATCCCGACTTTTTTTAAAAAAGAGGCAAAATATCCAGTACTTGCATGCCCCCTGCTGCTCTTTGAGTTCCCCAGTCAGAGCAGCTGCAGCAGCCTCCTATTTGTGGTTAATAGTAAAGCAGGTGCCAGCACATGGTGTCTGGAGTCAGGCAGGGAGCCAAGGGAGAAACATAGAAAGAAACCAGGTTAGGGATATTAAATTGTGTGTAAGCAGCTAATTGAGTAGTCGATGGAATTTCCATCGAGTACTCAATTAGTTGACAAGGGGGGAAACCACAGAGCCCCAGGAGCTAACCCTGCTGCAGCTCTGCCTTTTAAATGTATTAAGAGCAAGTAGGCTTTTAATACATTTAAAAGGCAGAGATTTAGTGGGGGGGACTGGGTGCAAGCTGGGAATCAGCTGATTTCCAGCTTGTACCCAGTCCCAGAAGCTGCGCATCCGAGTTTTCATCTGCATGACTGGAAACTGGAGTAGCTTCTGTGATTAGTGATTCTACATTATGAAACACTGTTTACAGACTTTGCATAGTTTAGAGGTTTTGAAAGTTGTAATTAATTCTGTTCCTGTAAAGTGATTTTGCTTAATCTGAGGGTGAGTTTAACCTTTAAATTAGATGTTTATCTCTGAATAGGAGATTTTCATATTCCTTTTTTTTCTCGCATGCATCCCTAAACCAGGTAGGAGTGTGTTCCTTTCCTGTGCACCCTGAGGAAGGATATAAGTCTGCTAGCCTTTTCAGAACATGAGGCTAAAGCCCCAACCACTGGCATTTCCTTCCTCCCCCCCCACCCCCAGCTCCAAGGCTTAAACCCCTTTCTTGCCTCCCACTGCTGGCTGCTTCCCCATTTCCACACAGCCATTGGTTCTACCACTAATGGCAATGGCATAAATAGAACCTTACCTTTGTTTGCCAAGCTCTGTTGTATGAAATTTCTTACTTTTTGTACTGTAGCGTGGAGAAATCACTCTTTTCCTTTCACTATGCAGCCTTTTCAGAAAAGACCGGGATTCCCCTAAAGTTGAAGGAAACTGCAAAAGTGGATGGACATATTTTCTGTGAAAACTGTTATCACTATGGTACCACAGAAGAGTTTATTCCTGAAGGAAAATTTTGCAGCCAGAAATGTGCACATCAGGTCAAAAACAAGTAGGTACTATATCTACATTAAAGCATACATATCATACAAATGCAGCATGACGAGGGAATACTGGGACAAAATAGTAGTGGGGTCAGATGGAGTAAGAGAATGACACAATCTTAATTTTTGAATTTTCTGACTTTAATTCTCAATTATGGATATGTACTTATAATTTTGCATTGAATATTTATAGAATATGAGAGCTCTAGTATTGTGTTATGCCAGTGTTGAGGGCATTGTTAGTTTCACAATAAAACGGTGTCTCTTACTGTGGAACACAAGCAGTGAAAAATTCATTTCTAGTTTGCATAAATCCGTCAGACTTCCACATTTCTTTTATAATCACTAGAATTAGAATGCTCAGTGATTAGATGTTTGGTGTGGTTAGTTAATTATGTTTAAGTGCAAAAGCTACATTACATATGATACCAGCTGCAGATTCCAACCTGTGTCAGTTTCTTCCATTTCAGTGGTGCACTGATGCTGCTCATCACATCACAAATGAAGTTTTCTGATTACATGCTCATTGTAAATTGTACATTTCACTAAGGCAATTTGACATATATGTTCTAAAGCATTTTTCCTTCTTTTAAGTAATTGCTTCAAATTTGTTTCTAGTTGCTGGACTGACAATTTATGCTGTTACATATCCACTTATTCTAATTGGATTTGTCAGTCATAATTATTAGTTCTTTCTTTTTTTAAAAAAACTGCCCTGCAGTCTTAAACATTTCAAAAGAATTGCTTCTTTATGAGTTTTGATGCCAGGTGGAAAAGACAAATCCTTTTAAACATGCAGAATCTGTTCAATATAGGCTGACAGCTTTCCTTTTGCAATTACTGTTGTGTGTTTTTTGTGTTAACTTTTTGGACAGCTGTAATTTTCAATAGTAGCTCTAAGAATACATTTTGAATGATACTCAGAGGCCTACAAACAATTAGGGATGTAAAAACCTGGGTAATCAGTTAACCAGTTAAACACTAGGGTTTAACACATTAAATGATTAATTCTGGGATCTCAGCGCATGGGCTGCCGTTTACCAAGTAACTGGTTACCCATTCACATCCCTACAGACACTTGGCTTTTCTTATCCTTCAGGGTAATTGCCTTTTCCTGATTCCTCCACTTAAGTTTATGTGCCAAAATGTTTTTTCTCATGACAGAGGACCAAAGGAGGATAAAGATGATTTGGAGTGCAATGAGGAAGATGACTCTAAAGGCACTCGGAAAAGAAAAACCAAATTACCTTTGAAAGAAGAGTGCAAAGAAGATGAGGAAGACAAAAGAGAGAAGGATGAAATGGTTAGTATGATCCATACACTTCAGCAGAGGTTTTGCCTTACATAGGGGAAGTAAAATCTAGCCCAGGGATAGGGAACCTTTTTTGGGTCGGGGGCCACTTATGCACAGAAAAATCAGTCAGGTGCCCCACCCAAGTGAGAAACAAACAAACAAAAAGCCCAAACAAAGCAAGCCCTCATTGATGTGGCCCCTAACTGAGAAGGAGAAAGATGTTTCTCACATTCCCCTTCCACATCAGAGGCAGGCCAGTAGATTTTGTGTGCTTCAATCCCATGTTGGGGCAGCAGGAGGCTGGAGCATCAGCGCGGGCTTCCTAATGCTATCGGGAACCCTGAGCCACAGGGGCAGGATCCAGGCAAGCTGGTGGCCACACCTGGCCCCCGGGCCTGCTGTTCCCCACCCTAATCTAGTCTAATTTGGCTAGCCAGTGTGCCCTTTTATAGCATCATAGTGGGTCTCGGAACAGCTCATCTGGGCATCAGTTTCTGATGTATCAATTTTTATATTTTTTCTAGAGTGCTACTTTACTTTGGGGTGGTGCATAGTTACAACATAGGCAGAATTTCAGCTGAATAATAGATTCCTCAGTTATGTATTTAACTATGCACAATTAGCAATTAAGCCATCACTTTTCTGTTGTTCGTCTTTCACCCTTTTTATAAAGGAACAAAACAAGGAAATTGAATGAAGGTGCTTAAGACAGTGGTGTTGGAACATTAAACCCAGAAAAATAAGGAAATTAGAATATACAGTTTCTACAAAAATCATTGCTTGTAAACTGATGCATGGAAGTTAATGCTTGTTTGCAAGAGAATCACATTTTAATTATGGGAAACATAACTTTGTTTTTCTTGATTTTTTTTTTTTAATTAAATGTAAAATCTCTGCCAGAATATTGTCTGTCTTCCCATTTAAAAGGATGTTCTTTGATCCGGTTGTGCCTAGGTTTTTTTCCATCACTATGTGAGATGGGGAAGGTGAATCTCAAACACTTTTGGTTCTTTTTTATGGTACTGACTTGTGGCTAGCAAGGAATTGCCCCTCTATGGATAATTATGCAGCTGTTATGGTCTAGGAGCAACTCATGGGTGAAAGATTAGAAATGTGTTCAGAATTATCTAAGGATGTACGCGACTAATTGACACATTAATCAACTAGTCACTCCCCACCTTTTCTGCATTTATCACAAAGAGGCAGTGGGGGAGGGCGGGAAAAGGGAGTGCTGGGCGGAGCTGGCTTAAAGGCTGGTTCCTCCCCTCCCCCCACTGACCCCAGGCTCCATGCAGGTGCTTTTGTTTTTAAATGTACAAGAGCCCCTGTGGAGGTTCTTCTAGATTTCAAAGATTGAAACACCGCATGGAACTTGGGGTCAGCAGGAGACTCAGAGTCTCCTGCTGGCCCCAGGCTCCATGTAGCACTTCATTTTGAAATGCACAAGAGCCCCCGCTGGGGTTCTTGTACATTTGAAAGGCGGAACGTGCGCTAGTCCTTATTGACTAATCGAATAGTCTATGGAAATCCCATTGACTATTCGATTAGTTAATTGATATTTAACTTCACTAGAATCATCTATGGTCTAATACATCAGAGATTAATTTATATCACTGTGTCCAGGAAATAATCCAGATAATTAAAAAAAAATCTGTATAAAGCCACAGTTAATGAAATTATATTTAGCGTAGATAAACAAAGCAGTGTATTAATGTCCAGAGTTGCCTGACCTGATCTCTCTATTTTGATCTCTTCAAAATGACCATATTCTTGCTCGAAGCCAGAACAGTTTTTTCACATTTTTTTGATTTCCTTGTTTCACTCTAAATTTGCATCATGTTATCATCTTCTTGGTAGTCTCTTTGTCTTTGGTTTGTTTTATTGTGTTTGGTTTCTAGATACTCAAGCGGCATAGTTATGGCGCAGTTCTTACTATGTTCCCTTGCTGATATCTCTAGGCATGAGTAAAATAACTTTCACAGCTTTTTGGCTTTCAGGAGAGCACGTGTGTTTGCTTGTTCTGTAATAGATATTTATCAGGTTTGGGTTTGTAGTGACAGTTACTACTTATAGTTATTTGCTGACATTAAGGAGAAACATTTTTTCTATTCTTGATGTTTCTTTTCTTGATACCAGCATATGTATTATTTCTGACATAGAAGAAGCAAAGTGTTAATAGGTAAGTGTGGGGGGAGGGATTGTCTCTTGCTTTTTCTAGGTTAACACGTGTTCTGTAACTGATTATTAGTCTTCAGCTGGCTGTCACTCAACACGTGTATTTTCTTAAGTCTGTTATATGTACATGCAAGAAACTATCACTGGTCTAATGTTATACAATATGAAAGGTTGTTTAGAGCATATATTGTCTCAGTAAAATGAAAATGTTATACACTGTAATATGAAGAAGTAGAACAGTCATAAACACAGTATGTCATATGGACTCTTATTTGATGCTGTGTTATTTATGTTAAAATATGTTATGATTTGGAGGTAAATTGTGTTTCCCTTTTAGAATTACAGTTCTTAAATTGCAACCAGTCTACTAACCAACAAGGAAGAAAATCTTTATACCTTGCTATATTAGAGGGAGAGACTTGGAGTTATGGAATAGTCAAAAGCAGAAGCTGCTTGGGTTATGGGAGGGAAATATGTGGTTGTCCATATGACATTCCTTATGGGCAAAAGTTAGGCAGCTTTATTGTCTTCCTTCTGCAGCAATCCCTGAAATGAATCCTTGAGCTACTTGGGGTGTAAGCAAAACTATTGATGCACAAATAATAAGAAAAAAGGAGCTGTGTCAATTAACATTTCATAAGGAACTAGGAATTGAAAAAACATATTTTAACATATGGACAAGACTAAAATTGCCAGAGGAAGAAATTATTATAATTGAAAGAGCGAGAACAGTGGAGAATGTGATCTGGAATCTCCACATCTTAGGAATTTGTAACTGTTTTTAAGAGTTTGTGTTCCAGAATGTGAAGATCCTTTGAATTCTCCATAGTGCTGAAGAGTGTTTGCTGGGACTATTCCTTTATTTTACTGTTAGAAATGTACAGCTTGACATTTGATATTGGCGCTTTGGCGCTACAATGATAACTTTTTTTTTTTAAAGTAAAGACAATGGATATGTCCTTTTGACGTCAATTTGCTACAAAACCAAAATTTCCTAAATTTTGTAATCTAGGAGGAGAAGCATGAAGGAAGGATACTGAGGGTATCTCAGAGAGCCAGAAGAAAAAGAAAAGGCGATACGGCAATTTTAAAGCAACGTAAGTTGAAATATGGAAGAAGAAAAAAAGATTCAGAAGTTTCCTTAGTTTGTATATAGCAAGGGGAGATCATCAATGGTCTATTTAGAACAACGGTTGTTATAGCACTGGATTTCTATTCTCTAATTCTACCCATTATTTATAATAAATATGATATTACTTTCAATCCACTAATAACTTTGAGGAAAGCAATCAACACTTGGATCCTGATTCTTATTTACATTAATGGTATGTGTATACTGCAATTTATGTCTAGGGTTAATTTGGGTCAACTGACCCATGTTGCATTTTAACCCTGTGTTTCTAACCTATGCTACAACATAGGTCTCTGAAATTAACGCTACAGTGCGCAGGCCCAATTCAAAGTAATCATGTTGAAGAGTTCCTAGTACCACCGCCCTCTCAGAGAGGCTGCTTTAGCCTTAAGACCATGGTGTACTATGCAAAAACGTCACTATTATCAGAACACAGCGTGCTTTGCAAAAGTCTTGATCAGTTCACTCTTGGTTGCAAACTCAGGAGGCTTTCTGATCATATTATCTTTGCAAATGAACAATCAGAAGATAACGGTTTTAGAACGATAGCTGTGTTAGTCTGTAACTTAAAAAATAAATGAAAAGTGGTCCTGTAATGGGTTAGTACTGACCTGCACCAGGTGCATTGAAGATTATTGGGATCGAGAGGGCTCAGGAAGTTTGTCCCATGGAATTGTGAGATCCTTTTGACCAACTCCCAGGACCGAGGTCAAGACAGACTGTATCTACACTGCAAAACAGTAGGGCCCCAGGTTAAGTCAAGCACAGACCTCAAGCCCTGCAATGTCCTGGAACTGTGGGTTCAAGCCCTGAGCAAGCTCAAATGCCATGCAGATGGAAGGGAAGCTAGACTTGAACCTTAAGATGCCTTTATGTGACTTTGGCAATGTGAAGGTACTTGTAGTAGGCATCAGTGTAATGCATTTTAAGGTTCCTTCATGCTGTCTGAGGTGTAAAGGAGCCTTAGTGTAAATGAGAAGCAGACCTGTTAATTGGCTGGATAAATAAGATTGCTCCTTTCACTTTTGCAGTCATTCAAGGAAGTGCATTTAGCAGAAGTAACAGTTTTCTTTTGTGTCCTCTGGGAGTAATGTCATAACTACAGTATGTGTATGCTTGGTAGAATTCAGTTTTTCTATTTTATAATTTTGAAGGCTAATATTGTTAAACATTTTTTCTAATTTTATTTAGTTAAGTTATCCCAGTTCTGGGAAATTGAGGGAGGGTGGGTCAGACAACAATGGAATCAAATAATTCTTTAATAACAGTAGACATTGAGATATACATATATAACCATTAAAACATGAATGATCAACATAACATGTCATAATTCTCAAACAGCATTTTTCGCTTATCTACAAATTTCAAATTTTCATTTAAAATACCTTTTTTGTTGTGTGGTTATACTGATAAATGGAAGTCTACTGATTAAAAATCTAATCCTTCGAAGCCTAAGTGTATTCAGGAAATCTAGATGCATTTATGGAAATGTTTAGGAATAATTGCTACAAATAAGTCCAAAGGGGTGCATTCCTATCGAAGTAGCAGAATAAAAAATGTTTAACGTAAGAACATAAGAACGGCCATACTGGGTCAGAACAATGGTCCATCCAGCCTAGTATCCTATCTGATGACAGTGGCCAATACCAAATGCCCCAGAGGGAGGGAACACAACAAGTAATCCTCACGCGATCCCTTTCCTGTCCCCCACCTCCAGAAAAACAAAGGCTAGGGACACCATTCCTACCCATCCTGGCTAATAGCCATTGATGGAGCTAACCTCCATGAATCTATCCAGCTCTTTTTTGAACCCTGTTAAAGTCCTAGCCTTCACCACATCCTCTAGCAAGGAGTTCCAGTGGTTGACTGTGCGCTGAGTGAAGAAAAACTTCCTTTTCTTTGTTTTAAACCTGCTGCCTATTAATTTCATTTGGTGGCCTCTAGTACTTATATTGTGGGAATAAGTAAATAACTTTCCCTTATTCACTTTTTCCACATCATTCATGATATTATAGACCTCTATCATATCTCCCCTTAGTCTCCTCTTTTCGAAGCTGAAAAGTCCAAGTCTTTTTAATCTCTCTTCATATGGGACCCATTCCAAACCCCCTAATCATTTTTGTTGCCTTTTCTGAACCTTTTTCAATGCCAATATATCTTTTTGAGATGAAGCCATCACATCTGTATTCAGTATTCAAGTTGTGGGTGTACCATGGTTTTATATAAAGGCATTAAGGTATTCTCTTTCTTATTCTCTATCTCTTTTTTATGATTCCTAACATTCTATTTGTCTTTTTGACTGTTGCTTCACATTGAATGGATGTTTTCAAAGAACTATCCACAATGACTCCAAGATCTCTCTCTTGAGTAGTTATAGTTTAATTAGTCCCCATCATATTGTACATATAGCTGGGATTATTTTTTCCAATGTGCATTACTTTACATTTATCCACATTAAATTTTATTTGCCATTTTGTTGCCCAGTCACTTAGTTTTTTGTAAGATCTTTTTGAAGCTCTTAACAGTCTGCTTCAGTTTTAACTATCTTGAGCAGTTTGGTATCATCTGCAAATTTTGCCACCTCACTGTTTACCCCTTTCTCGAGATCATTTATAAATAAATTGAATAGGATTGGTCCCAGAACAGACCCTTGGGGAACCCACTAGTTACCTCTCTCCATTTGGAAAACTTACCATTTATTCCTACCTTTTGTTTCCTGTCTTTTAACCAGTTATCAGTCCATGAAAGGACCTTTCCTCTTATCCAATTACAACTTACTTTACTTAAGAGCCATTGGTGAGGAACCTTATCAAAGTCTTTCCGGAAATCTAAGTATACTTATAGCCACTGAATCCCCTTTGTCCACAGGTTTATTGACCCCCCTCAAAGAACTCTTAACAGATTAGTAAGGCATGATTTCCCTTTCTAGAAACCATGTTGATTTTTTAAATATTGGCGTCACGTTAGCTATCTTCCAGTCATTGGGTACAGAAGCTGGTGTAAAGGATAGGTTACAAACCACAGTTAATAGTTCTGTAATTTCCCATTTGAATTCTTTCAGAACTCTTGGGTGAATGCCAGCTGGTCCCGGTGACTTGCTATTGTTAAGTTTATCAATTTGTTCCAAAACAGTGACCTCTAATGACACTGGTAATGACACCTCAGTCTGGCACAATTCCTCAGATTTGTCACCTAAAAAGAATGGCTCAGGCTTGGGAATCTCCCCAGTATTTTCAGCCGTAAAGACTGAAGCAAATAATTCATTTCGCTTCTCTACAATGACTTTATCATCTTTGAGTGGTCCTTTAGCATCTCAATAGTCCAAGGAGCCCACTGGTTGTTTCTCTGGCTTCCTGCTTCTGATGTACTTAAAAAACATTTTGCTATTAGTTTTTGAGTTTTTGGCTAGCTGTTCTTCAAATTCCTTTTTGGCTTTTCTTACTATATTTTAAGTTAGTGCCATCATTTCAGTCCATTAACATGGTAGTACTTTTAGGAAAGTAGAATCAGCAATTATTGTATATACCAGACACCTGCTTATGGCCCTCTCAGTAATTCTTGTAGTATATTTTGAGCTTGTACTGCATTAGTCTCCATTAGCAGCAGCTGCCTAACCACTAACAGAAAGCCTAAAGCCATGGTCCCCAACACGGTGCCCGCGGGCGCCATGGCGCCCGCGGGGGCCTTTCAATGCGCCCGCCAGGTGCTCGGGGCTGGCCTGGCCCCGGGCACATGGTGCACGGTGAGCGCCGGCCCTGGGAGCGCCGCGGATTGGCCGCCCGTGCTCTGGGCACGAGGCACTTGCAGGGGGTGCCGGCCCCGGGCGCGCGGCACTTGGGGGGAGGGGAGAGCGCCGGCCCCGGACGCCGCCCCCGGGCATGCGGCTATGGGGAGGGGGCCGCCCCCGGGGCGCAAGTGTCCCTGCCCCCTGGCGCCCGGCGGGTGAACAGCCACGCCCCCTGGCGCCCGACAACCTGGAAAGGTTGGGGACCACTGGCCTAAAGTATTCCCACCAGGGAGCAGAGCCATGCAAACTAACAAAAGCACCTGGAGTGCAGAAGAGCCATGGTTGAAACAACTGTAATTTACTCTTGAAGTTTAAATGCTGTTTATGTAGACATTTGTTCTAAAGCTGAAACAGTGTGATTGGTATGATAAAGGAACGCTCGTTTGCTGAAAGAAATGCTACTGTTCACTGGTACAATGGTTTATGCGCGTTTTTGTAGTTTATTTACTGGAAGCAGAAGGGCTTTGAATAAGTAATGATTTTAGATTCAGAAGCAAGACTTTTAATCTATGTTATTGTTAGGCAGCACTTCTAGAGATCTGAGTTCAAATATGGCTTAAAACACAAAATGAGCAAATGTACAAAATGAGCTGCTTATTAGTCCCAGTTTCTGTACTCCCAACACTTACACGTTAATTGGAGGTATGACTTAATTTCTTCAGAAGTCGCCCAGCACAGATATAGATGAAGCAGATGTAAATTATATAAATGTTAACATAACTAGACTGTAATTGGTAATGATAGTTATTTCTGTTGTGGTAGTGCCCAGTCAGGATCAGGGCAGTATTGTGCTAGGCGGTATGCAAACTGTCCCTGCCCCAGTGAGTTTATAATCTGAAATGACAAGCTATATGCTGCAGGGGTGAACAGGGATATAAACAAGGTCAGAAGTGAGGTGAGCAGTGTGAGCAAAACTGCCAGTTACATGGCAGAGCTTGTGAGGCATCTGCCTTCATCGTTTTGCTATGCAGTTAATTTTGTTCCTTCCCCTTTGGGAGATTGCCCACATATATCTTGTCCATTGTTGGTGCACAAGTTACCAGTGCGTTCAAACCAGAGGCTTTTGGTCATTGGTACCTAAATGGCAGCACGTGCACCCTGAGTATCTTCATGCCTCCAACTGAGGGTATAGAGGGTAGCCCACTGAAGCTGCCCCCCAACTCCTCATCCACCTATGTTTGTAAGCAATTAGTAAAGTTGTTAGTAATTAGTTTTTTAATAGACTTTCTGAATTAAGTTCTGAGAAATTAAATACATGTGTTACAAATAGAGATTTGAAACACATGCCATTTTTTTTTATCTTGCTTTCTTTCAGAATTCAGCAATTCAGTCATTTTGCCAAAATAGTTTAACACTGTATTTTTCTCCACAGCTTTATATTCTAAAGGAAAGAAACCATGGTGCTGGGCTTCATATTTGGAGGAAGAAAAGGCCGCAGCAGCACCCACTAAGCTTTTTAAAGAGGTATGTTTTCTTCTGAAACCCAAGTTAATCATCCTTTAGTATGAAATTTGTAAGGAAGTAAATTAAAAAGGTAGACTAATCAGACTATAAGAAGACTTTTGTAAGTTCTCAGTTTGCTCTAAAGGAAGTCTGACATTAAAATAACAAATATCCCTAAATAGTCATGAAGTGTGTGTGGATGATAGGTCATCTTTTGCCAAGCTTTTCTCAGTGAATTAATAACTCACAAATCTGACTGTGATACTGTCCTATGAAACCTACTTTGAATATAGGATTCAGGTAGTTACAGATCTTTGAGCTCATTGCTGGACATTTCCAAGATCTGGCCTTTTCTGTCTATTCAAACAGCTAAAACTCTGATCCAGACCTTCATTTTCTTATAGCTTGATTTCTGTAGTCTTCTCATTTTGGGCTTTCCAGAGGCTGTCTTGCTCTCCTTAAGTCCGTTCACAAGTCTGTTACAAAGATCATCTTCCTGGCTTGTTGTTTCGACTTTGCAACTCTCTGACTCCGCCTTTCTCATTGTAACCAGCAATACATGACTTTATTGCCCAACTGTTCCCAATACTTTCATCAGCTTTTCTGTAGCTGTCACTTGAACAAGTAGCAGTTGCTCTGTTAAAATGAAACAGCTTATTCTTTTGTTTTGCACTTCTAACTCTCCAATATAATGACACCATTTCTGTTTTTCCTCTTCTTTTTCCTTCTCACATCACATAGGATTGTGTCTGCTGCATGAGCCTTCATATACTTTTTATTCCCTATGCTGGCCTCCTTGTGCCAAAAAAAATCTTTATACGTTTGTGACAAAGGTAATGCAAATATAGTAAGCCCAATGCAATTGCATCTTAGGTGACCTATGATGTAATATTGTAATTAAATCTTTTACATTTTAAACTTTACCTGTTCTTGTGGTATAACAGCAGCTTACCCATAGTTAAGGTTGCACTAGAGAGTTTGGGTTTAATAGTGGAAAGAATAGTGACTATCTTGTGATCTGGAGTTTTACTAAAACAAAAATGGGTTATAATTCTTGGCTAACTAAGGAATTTTCGATGTATTGGCTATACAATTTGAAGTGTTGGAAAGTTTATAGTAATTATGGAAAAATAGGTGTTTGCATTATTTCGGAAGGGGAGTGTCTTGCTTTTCCTCTTCCTTTGCAAGAAATGTAAGCCACACTGTGTGTGTCTACACTGCATTTTAAGGAGCTAATGGGGGAGTTGGGCCCTGGATCCTAGCAGGACAGGCTTAAGAGCCTGAACATCTGCCTGAAGGTCCCCATTGCTATTTTTAGTGAAGTAGCTCAAGCCCTGCTAGCATGTATCTGTTCTCCCAGTCTGGGAGGCTTCCAGCTCTAGTGTAGACTTACCTTCTGGGTCTGTCCTTTGAGCATGTTATCACTTGTGTGCTGATTCAGAGACTATCCTTTATACACGAGGACTGTTGTCTTATTGAATATTTTGTATTGTCTCTAGTCATAGAGGCAAATATGTTCACTAATTTACCAAATTTTAATCAGATTATTTTTAAAAAGCAATTTTTGCTTCTGAGAGGTACCGTAAAGCAGTATGTACCTCCATTTTCTTGAAATTTGCACTGAACAGTGACCTTAGTGGTGGTTAAGGTGAAACAACTTTCCAAATGTGTGGAATGCATAACAGTCAGATACATTGATATAACTAATAGAAAAGCAAGTATGATCATTCTTAGGGTTTTGTGTTTCCCTAGCTTCATCAAACTTACTTTGTATATACAGTAAAACTCCGATAGTCTGGCATCCAACTGTTCGGCACTCCTGATACTCCGGCATCAAAATGCCAAGCGCTCCTGACAAGCTGATTAAAAAGTCTGCTGCTTAGCACACGTGCTGGCTATAACCAGCCTGAGCATAAGGTTGGGGAGCGGGGAGTGGGATCGTGTTACAGTATGGAGAAGAGCGTTTTGCTTCAGTGAAGGGGAAATGGGAGAGGAGGGGGACGAGGATGGGTTAGAGCACGGAGGAGAGAGACCGAAGAGGAAAGGGCAGGGGAAGGGAGGGGGAAGAGGATCAGGTTACAGCGGGGAGGAGAGAGACGCTAAGAGGAAAGGGGAGGGGAGAGGGAGGGAGATTGTGTCTTGGCCAGCTGAGGGAATTTGCTGGACCAGAGAAAGTCCCCTGCTACTGGCTCCCCAGACCATCTTCCCTCCGCACTGCCCACCCCAGCTGCTCCCCAGTGGTGTTGTCATAGTTTCATTCTCTTGCCTTATTTTATTAATATTTCTGCTTTTTAAAAAAAATTAAAGTATTAAAGACTGATGACTTTGACTTCTGACTTTGGAGCACAGAGAACGTGATACAACAGGAAGCCAGTACCTGACTCCCTAAAAGCACCCTTTCTGCTCTTCTCTCTTTTTGAAAGGCTGTAGCATAAGCTTCATCCTCATGTGATCTCATGTTCCTAGTCCTTTACTGATTGCCAGTATCCTCCTGTAAAAAGAGGCTCATCAGAGACCAATATTTCTCTCTACTGTGCACAGCATGGAGAAAATTTCCTTGAGAGAGGCCATCTTTATGTATGAAAGCTGTTGTACATTTGCTTTGTGGCCATCTTTTGAGGGTCTGAGATGTAGAAACTAAAATACATGTTAGAGCATTTTATCTGATCATCCCATAAAAGTGTCACTTTACATACTGAAAAATAATTAATTAACCCTACTGTATTTTTAAATTAGAAAATAATTTTAAAAGTTGATGAAACACAACATTTTCTACTGTTCTGAGGTGGCTTTCCTGATAACTTTCTCTATGTATTTTCTGCATTATAAAGCCCTCAAGAGCTGCACTGTCAGCCAGTTTTGCCAGGCTTCTTAAGTTCTATTTTCCGTTACATGGTTTTAAAAGCTTGAAATTAGGCCAAATATACTTATTTGTGAGGCTTCATTTTGAGCAGCTGCTTGCATAAGGGTATGTAATAACAATCATCTGTGGTTTGCACTAGGGACGTAAGTGACTTAGTCGACTATTTGCTTCTTCCCTCCCTTGCTGCCTCTATCAGAGAGAAGCAGCGGGGGAGAAGGGGCAGGAACTGGTGCTGGGGGGAGCCTTTGGGGTGGGACAGGGGCACAGTGGGGAACTGGCAGTGCTTCTGTCTTTGAAATGTAGTGAAAGCGGGGCTCTTGATACATTTCAAAAGCAGAAGTGCCATAGGGAGCATGAGGTGAGTGGGGGAATGCTTAAGTCTCCCGCTGGCACCGGGGGCTTCCCATAGCACGTCTGAGTTTGAAATGTAGCAAGAGCCAGCGAGGCTCTTCCTACATTTCAAAGGCGGAGGTGCCCTTATCGACTAACTGAATAGTTGATGCAAATTCCATCAACTATTCAGTTAGTTGATTAATCTAAATTTAACATCCCTAGTTTGCACTGCACAAGTATTTTAACTTTCTTTGGAAGTACTTCTTTTGAAATATTAATCATAGAATACTAGCACTGAACAGGACCTTGAGAGGTCATCGAGTACAGTCCCATGCCTTCATACCAGGACCAAGCACCGTCTAGACCATCTCTGATAGATGTCTATCTATTCTGCTCTTAAGTATCTCCAGACACGGAGATTCCACAACATACCTAGGCAATTTATTCCACTCCGGCAATTAGGAAGTTTTTCCTGATATCCTACCTAAACCTCTCCTGCTGCAGTTTAAGCCCATTGCTTCTTGTCCTATCATCAGAAGCCAAGTAGAATAATTTTTCTCCCTCCTCCTTATGATACCCTTTTACTGTAGATACTTGAACACCACTATCATGTTCCCTCTCAATCTTCTCCTTTCCAAACTAAACAAGCCCAATTCTTTCAGTCTTCCTTCATAGCTCATGTTTTCTAGACCTTTAATCATTCTTCTTGCTCTTCTTTGGACCTTCTCCAGTTTCTCCACATCTTTTTTGAAATGTGGTGCCCAGAACTGGACACAGCACTCCAATTGAGGCCTAATCAGCACAGAGTAGAGCAGAAGAAAGATTTCTTGTGTCTTGCTCACAACACTTCTGTTAATGCATCCTAGAATCATGTTTGCTTTTTTTGCAACAGTGTCACACTGTTGACTCATATTTAGCTTGTGGTCCACTGACACCTAGATCCCTTTTTGCAGTACTCTTTCCTAGACAGTCATTTCCCATTCTGTATATGAGGAAGGAACAGTGAGTTTCAAAGTGGAGTACTTTGCATTTGTCTTTATTAAACTTCATCCTATTTACCTCAGATCATGTCTTTAGTTTGTCAAGATCATTTTGAATTATGGCCCTGTCCTCCACAGCAGTTGCAACTCCTCCCAGCTTGGTATTATCTGCAAACTTAATAAGCGTACTCTCAATACCAATATCTAAATCGTTGATGAAGATATTGAACAGAACTGGTCCCAAAACAGACCCCTCCGGAGCCCACTTGTTATGCAATTCTAGCATGACTGTGAACCATTAATAACTTCTCTGAGAGTGGTAATCCAGCTAGTTATCCACTCACCTTATAGTAGCCCCATCTAAGTTGTATTGATAAGATCGTGCGAGACCATATCAAATGTCTTACTAAAGTCTAGGTATACCACTCCCACTGCTTCTCCCTTATCCACAAGACTCGTTATCCTATCAAAGAATGCTATCAGGTGGGTTTGCCATGATTTGTTCTTTACAAATCCATGCTGGCTGCTACCTGTCACCTTATTACTTCCAGATATTTGTAGATGAATTCCTTAATTACTTGTTCCATTATCTTTCCTAGCACAGAAGTTAAGCTGACTGGTCTGTAGTTTCCTGGGTTGTTCTTATTTCCCTTTTTATAGATGGGCACTATATTTGAACTTTTCCAGTCTTCTGGAATCTCTCCTGTCTTCCATGATTTTCCAACGATGATAGCTATGGCTCAGATACCTCCTCTGTCAGCTCTTTGAGTATTCTAGGCTGCATTTCATCAGGCCCTGGTGACTTGCAGACATCTAACTTTTTAAAGTAATTTTTAACTTGTTCTTTTTTTATTTTATCTTCTCAGCCTACCCCATTTCCACTAGCATTCACTGTTAGGCATTCCTTCATCGTCAGACTTCTTGGCAAAGAGTGAAACAAAGAAAATTAAGCACCTCTGCTATTTCCAAGTTTCCTGTTATTGTTTCTCCCTCTTCATTGAGCAATGGGCCTACCCTGTCCTTGGTTGTTTTCTCACTTCTAATATATTTATAGAATATCTTCTTGTTACCCTTTATGTCTCTAGATAGTTTGAGCTTGTTTTATGCCTTTGCCTTTCTAATCTTGCCCCTGCATGCCTGTATTGGTTGCTTATATTCATCCTTTGCAATTTGACCTGGTTTCCACTTTTTATGAGACTTCTTTTTTATTTTTAGATTATGCAAAATCTCCTGTTAAGCTACAGCAGTCTTTTGCCATGTTTTCTCTTTCCTAATCAGTGGAATAGTTTGCTTTTGGGCCCTTAATATTATGTTCCTTTGAAAAACTGCCAACTCTTTTCAGTTGTTTTTCCTCTTAGTCTTGCTTCCTGTGGGACCTTACCGACCAGCTCTCTGAGTTTACTAAAATCTGCCTTCATGAAATCCATTGTCTCTATTTTGCTGTTTCAAAAAATTGAAACTGTTTTTGTTCATTCTAGTATCAGTCCTTCCCATATGGTAAAAATGGATTCAAAGTAGGAATGAAACTGGAAGGAGTGGATCCTGAGCACCAATCAATTTACTGCGTTCTCACTGTGGCTGAGGTAAGCATCAGAACTACACATGAAAAAAGTGTGAGGCTGATAACAGAAATGTATTAAGAATATAGTGATTATTATACTGGAATGATGATCTGTTTAGTGCTGCATCTAGCATCCTATTCTCAGTAATAGTGAGAGATTCTTCAGAGAAAAATGTGAACTACTGTTAGACATTTAATTATCTAATTATCCATCTCCCAGGGTTGGGGAACTTTTTTTGGGTTGGGGGCTGCTGACCCACAAAAAAATTAGTCGGGGACTGCACACAAGTGAGAAGCTGGAGCGCCAGCCCTGAGCCTCAGGGCTAGATCGAGGTGAGCTGGGGGCTGCATCCGGCCCCCGGGCCTGAGGTTTTCCATCCCTGATATATACCATGTGAAAAAACTTTTGCTGAGACATCAGAGTGATGTCATCATGTCATTCTGCATCTCACAGCTCCTCCCTCCTTCCTTCCTTCCTCCCTTTTCCTCAGTACTCAGCTGCTTCGCAGCAGCCTCCTTCCTCCTTGGTGCTCAGCAGCCAGGGAGGTAAAGTGTGGGGCCTGCGAGCGCCCCCACCACTGTGGCGGCTTGGAGGAGAGTGTGGGGCTTGCAAGGCTTTGGAGCAGACCCCTCCCGCCCCCCAGTGACTGGGAGGAGAGAGCTGAGCCCACCAAAGCAGGGAAAAGTGGGGGTTGGGTTAGGTCATTTTAAAACAATATCCAATTATCAAGGAACAAATACACATTTTCCACGGATATGAATACATATGCATAATATTATAGTGTTATGGTGATACACAAGTATCTGTATATAGGAGGCCCCCGATTTACGACCCCCTGCACTTATAACCTTTTCCATATGTGTGGAAGGGGCCAAAATCCCCTGAGTTATGTCATTGGCCCTACATTTATGATGGCGTACGATGCCTGTCATAAATGCAGGCTCGAGTTATGACGCCCCTGACTTGCAACGCTGGCCCAGGAACCAATCGCCCAGGAACCGATCGCGCTGCAAGACAGGGGCAGCCTGTAATCGTCTAATTTTGGAGAAATCTATATTTAAAAGAGAAAATACAAAGAACATAAAGCATGAAAATGGATGGCCCTTGAATTTTTATTTCAACTACAGATACTAAGCTCATTCGTATTATCTAACCATGTTTTTTATATTATTGAGTTCCACAGACCAATTTTACACTATAGGTTTAATTCTGCCATTTTTACTTACATTGGTAGTATCTTACCCTGTGAATAATTCTGTGGGTTTTAATTGTATGATTCAGACACAGAATTAGATCTTTCTT